GAGGAAAGAGCTTCCATTTCAAAATTAGTTTTAAAAAGTTTAAAGATAAGTTTACAGTTAACCAAGCTATAACATTGATGCAACAATTTAAAAAACCAGTTGTATTCCAGTCGGCTTCAAAACCTACCTTACGAACAGTTTATGGATTAAACAATCCCTGCCTTTTTCTCCTTCAGGAATAATCGGCCACAAAGACTGCAATCTAAACACACTTATGTCCTCTTAAAACGACGCTGCCTTTCATTAAACACCCCTGATCTCCGGAGAATTTGCACATAAGACTGAATTCCTTTGCTCCAGGTGCAGCTACAAGTTTAGTGGGCTGATCTTAATCACTGGGATTATCGGGGGTGGGGGTGGTGGGGAGAACACATGGTGAAGGATTTTTGGACAGGTCTCGTTTCTTTTAAAGTCGCACTGCAGTTGGTAATTGCCTTGAATCTGTAACTAGTCAGAACTTGCAGCATTGCTGCTGTTGACTTCAAGCAGCCTGTCAGGAAAAGCAGAGTGCTGAAGAGACAGATCTGCCCTAGCAGTTAAGAAGCATAGGGTTAATTAGACATTAAACACGATTGAGAGTTAGCGCTGAAGGGTAACCACAGCAAAATGCCCACAGACATCCCTCAATGTGCTGTAGCTCAGGCTGCAGACACACCACCCCCCGTAAAGCACATTCAAAACAGTTACTTTCCCTCAAAGAATTATGGGCACTGTAGTTCACTCCTCACAGAATTACAATTCCCAGCAATGCTAGCAAACGACAGTGTCCAGAATTCTTTGAGGGGGGGAAATGTGCTTTGAATGTGCTTTAAAGGTGTAGTGTGTACAACAGTCTCGGGCACAAAGTTCACACATCCACAACACTATTGGCCACTTTTCAAGGATGGATCTACGCTCGGAGCGTCTTAAGACAATATACTGATTCAGACACAACAGGAAAAGCAAGCTGCTCATATACATATTCCTCTTCCTACACCGTATTTTTCACTCTATAAGACGCACTCTTCCCCTCCTAAATAGTAAGTGGAAATGTGTGTGCGTCTTATGGAGCGAATGCAGGCTCCATGGCTTCAGCGAAAGCAAGGCGAAGCCTCCGGAGCACAGAGTTCTCCGTTTCTCCTGCCACTTCGCTGAAGGGGCGCTGCGCAGAGAGGGGGAGAATATTTTTTCCTTGTTCTCCCCCTCTAAAACTAGGTGCGTTTTATGGTCGGGTGCGTCTTATAGAGCGAAAAATACGGTAATTTAAAACAGAGACAAGAACCTGTGCCATTCTGACTGCTTTTAGACTACACTCCAGCCATCTCCTGTCAGCATGGCCAGTGATATAGAAAGCTAAAGCTGCTTTCTATCTTGGGAGTTTTCCCATTCCTCTTGTAGGAAAGATGTGAAAAGTTGTGCTTGGATAACAGGAGGATTTAGAGAGACAAAAAAAAAGTGAAGTCTTCCTTTCTGATCTGTAACCCTTTTACATTGTACCACGTCTTAACAACGCAACCTAACCAAAGCAACATTATTCTTATTGTTATTACTTACTGACTTACTTACTTACCTTACATCACTTAATTCATAATAGATATTCCTGCTCTCATCCTTGATGTATATTGCCACACTGGGGGACTCCAGCATTTTCATTGTCAGCTGCTGGGGGAAGGCACTTACAAAAAGGGCACGGATCGTATCTGTGCTCGTGATCTCATTGGGCATCCTTAGCTGTTTAGTTTCATCTCCGTACTGAAGGTACAAAACACCTATGAGGACAAAAAAACAACAAGAACATCTTGGTTGACATGAATGAAGTAGGAATATCAAGCTTCATTCTGGATATGAGTTAAAAAGGCCTGTTTGCACAAAGGGCTCGTGATACATATATCAACTCTCTAATTCAGTATTGGAAAAGGAGTATAATTCTCTGTGGCTATTGATTATATGCTCTCAAGAAGTACAGATGCTGCAAGAAAGGTTTTTATTATTATGACTATTATTATTCTGTTCTTCAGCCAGGGCCATTTCAGTCTTGCAACTGAAAGGATACTTTTTCCGGTGGCTCAATATCTGCCGCAAACCTTGATGTCTGGCAAAGAGAGTTAAAAACCTGCAGAATGCTTCACCTCGGTGGTTCAGCATACATATCTTAGTTTTGTCATTCTGTCCCTCTCATGCTGTGTGACTAGCATGATGTCTGGGTTCTTCAGTGATGCTTGTTTGCATATGCCTTGGGCAAGTCAGAAGAAACCTATTCTAAATGTGCTTTTAAATAGTAATCCGGGGGAAGGCTTTGCTGGTAACTACGATGGGCTCTGGTGGAAACTGTCCCTCTCCTCACTTAAAAAAGCACAACCGTGGGTATTTGCGACAGCAACAGAAATGGGAAACTGATTTTTGAGCTTTCCAGATTGCTTTTACAACGTTCTCGCCATTTTGCAAGGCCACAAAGGTTCCAGTTGGCCAAGCCTTATTCTCCCCAACTGAGCGTCTTGAAACTGCTTGGAGGCAGGGATGGGGGGTTGGAAGACTTGAGCCTGAGCTGATGAAAATGTTACCTCTCATTTGGTTTGGTTTATTAATGTATTAAAGTCTTCCTACTTGATCTCAGGATAGGATACATATTTCAACATTTCAGTCGCATATGCAACTTGATAAAGCAATAGATGAACTTGCTTGCCTTGATGAACAACAGATTGTGTAGAAACTAGCCTACTATACTTAGCTAAAAATGTACATTTGCTGCTTCTCTTAATTTTGCACCTGGCCTCACACACCACTGGCTTGTCGCCCTCAGAAGGTTTACAGAAGGGAATGCAGAAAAAGGCTCCCCATTCCTGTAATATAGGAACATAGGAAGCTGCCTTATACGGAGTCAGAACATTGGTCAATGGAGGTCACCTCTGTCTACACTGATTGGCAGATGTTCACCAGGGTCTCAGGCAGAGATCTTACCCAGGATGGAATCTGGGACCTTCTGCATTGAAATCATGCACTCCACCACTAAAGTCATTATCTAATGATGGGATCTGCATCAATCCACATATCCCTCTGCACATTTCCCCAATGACTTGTAACTGATATTTGTGTGTGTGTGTAACTTGACAATATTGCATCTGAATCCCCTCTCACCCCCTACAAGCCAATGAACATGGGATTAGGATGGTGAAGCACTAACACCATCACACCACATGCTTTTCAATCATACATTATCCAAGAGGTTCTTTCCACAAGTCCCATCAAAGACAGAGCAAGACACCATCCCTGCTGCAGACAAATATTAGTATCAAACAGGCAGATTCAAAGCACTCTTTTTGGCGCCTGCTTAAAACAATTTTGTTTAGGCACACCTATCCAGACACGTTTTAATCTTTTTTACCGTTAGTAGGTTTTTTTAAAAAAAAAAAACACATTTCATTAAATGTTTTAAGTATTTTCAACTGATTTTATTGATAATTTTAATTTTCTTGTAAACCACTTAAGAGGCTTTTCTACAATCTGCAATGAAGTCTGAAATAAATTTTGTATATCTGGATAGACAAAGATAACACAGCACCCTTCCTCCAGGCATGAATTCTTCAGAAACAAGCAGAGACTTTCGATAACAATTAATACTTCTTGTAATGTGAGATAAGTTCGTTGGCGTACTGTCAGGGTTATTATTGCCGTCCTCAGCACTAGCTTTTCCAGCTTTTCAAGGCATCCTTTCAGAGCTTGTCTTAAGGTCACCTTCATGATCTTTGTGGTATTTCTAGCCTGAGGCCTTAAGCATTATTTTCCATTAGTTATTCTCACCTAGTTATACACACACTTCACACTTTTAAAAAGAAAGAGGGCCTGCACATAATCTTTCAGCTCGATCTGCTGCATAAAAAAAAGACAATAGCTAACCCAAAGTTCCTGGTACACTTTTTCTTTTTCTTTTTTGCTCCGGATTTAAAAAAAAAGGTGTATGGTTTTGCTCACCTGGATGATGAAATTAAGTGCCAGGCTTAAAGCCAAGTAATCAGCCTATAAAAGTGACTAGGACTTAGACTGGGAAAGCAAACAAGGAGAAGAGTGAAACAACTAAATCCTATGCATAATTTGTCAAAAGCAAGCTCCACTGTGTGCAAGGAATAAGCAACGGAGCTTATTCTCCAGAATAGGTGTGAAGACTGCAATGCAAACTTTTTGGCATGACTCTTGGGCTCTTGGTATTCACTGCTGAGTCCTGATGGCAAGGAGACCTGGGACATTTTGTTTCCAGGTACCGCTCCAGCGGGAAGGTAAACGGCGTTTCCATGCACCGCTCTGGTTCGCCAGAAGCAGCTTAGTCATGCTGGCCACATGACTCGGAAGCTGTACGCCGGCTCCCTTGGCCAATAAAGCGAGATAAGCGCCGCAACCCCAGAGTCGGCCACGACTGGACCTAATGGTCAGGGGTCCCTTTACCTTTACTGATGGCAAGGAGACCTGGGACATTTTGTTTCCAGGGCACCTGATATCTACAGTATAGACTTAGGCATCCAAGAGAACTACATTACCTAGGCTCCATGGAACCCAAGACACAATGTGGCAGCACTCTAGCTGCCAGTCAAAGAAAGAAGCAGCTGGTGCAGGGCTCAGTGCAGCTGAGCAGTGGCACAAAACCAACCCAATAGGGATTATGATGATTCAGCATCTAGCCAATGCTTTTTCCAATCTTACAAGCCAGCAGCCAGGGTCACAACTGGTCTGGAGAATGGTAAGAGGCTCACGAAGCTGGTCTACATGGGAAATTGCACCAAATGGGATCAAATATTGATCTTGTGACTACTTGATCTATGAGCAGCAACAAAACTGCTCATAGCAGGGTTCGATAGCTTTCAAATTGGATGGGGGACTGTGCGTTGAGTGAGAGTCCTGCATTGTTGACCCTCCAAGTCCCTTCCAAGTCTACAATTCTATGATTATAGGATGAGTTTGGAGATACCTGCTGGGGCTTCCTCAATCTCTTTGGGGATTGACAGCATGTGCAGGACCTCTGATTACCTGCGGAAGGGCTGTAGCTCAGTGGCAGAGCACATGCTCTGCATGCAAATGGCCGCAGGTTCAATCCTTCACATCTTCAGATAAAGCTCATAAGGACCTTTGCCAGAAAAACCTGGAGAGCGGCTGCTGGGCAGTTTTGACAGTTCTGACCTAGATGGTCCAAGGATCTCACTCAGTATAAGGCAGCTTCCTATTTGGAGAAAAGCTAATGGAGAACCCATTTCCCTTCTTTTTTCTCTTCCCCTCTGCCCATTCTTTTTCACGCCACTCCTTTCACCTATTTAGTTCACTGTGTCAGGTGAAGCTGTGTCATCCTGAAGTTGCACCTGTGGGAAAGCAGAAAGGCCCTTTTTATGGGAAAGGGTTGGATGCAGAGCTGTCAACTTTTCCCTTTTCTTGCAAGGAATCCTATTCGGAATAAGGGAATTTCCCTTTAAAAAAGGGAAACGTTGACAGTTATGGTTGGATGGGTTGGGGAAAGAAAAGGCTGAAGTTATTACAGGCCAGATATTTTGGATTTCAAGCTCTTTTTTTCACATTGCTGTATTTCCATTTTGTAGAAAACAGCGAATTCCCTCCCAAAAGGAGACACAACATGAGTACCTGCTGCAAATGACAGATGACAGAGTTGCATGAATTTACATTACGTTTTTATACTGGCCTATAAAACGTAAGAAGCCAGTGAGGCTATCGAATAATGTTTTTGGAGATTAGCACGGCTTGTGTGGTGTATGTTTGCTGAGGTAGCCATGCTAAACAGCATTTTGGCTCTCTCAGTTGCCTTCTTTCAGGTGCATTCTCAAGATATCTGCTTACACACAAAGGAAGAGCAGATTAAAGGAAGGGACAAATGTGATTACACAGCTTTATTTGGGACGGTGTGTGTTTCAGCTTCCCCTGGGTACACATTCCAGAAAAAGACACAAGCACGATTAATGAAGCATAAACCTTAAAAAGAAAAAAAAAGAAAAAACCCCAGCAGGCAGCAACATACTTGCTGATTAAGTTCGAAGAGGGAGTATTTTTGTCCTGCTAAATGTTTATGCAAAGATAAGGAATATTCCTTTTAAAATCCTATTCAGCAGTACAAGGAGGAAAACAAGGGAAATGTGGCCACCTTTGGGCTATTTAGTTTCCTGGGAGCCTTTTGTTTCAAATCTGGAACTGAAGTGAATTGTTTGGGGCTGGGTTTTTTTTGTTTTCTTGAAGTCTTGCCAGTCAGGTTTTAATGTAAAGTATTTAACCAGAACAGCAAATATTTGCACTCATTTTCTACATGCACCAAGAAATCAAGGGAAAGCACAAGGACAAAACAGAGGTATGGGCACGGGAAGCTTCATGAAGACTTGTTCAGTCTGCAGGAAATTACACCTGAGAACGGTTCAAGTGAATGGGAGCTGTGTAAGAGCATGGATGGTCTCAGGAGGATAGGTCAAAAGTGAAGCGATTGGGAAACCTAACATTGAGTCTACTACAGACCACCAAACCAAGAAGAGGATGTACTAAAGTAACTTGCTGATGTACTCTAAGTCAGAACCTCTGTCTATCTTCTTCAAGGAATCCTGGCAAATGGGCAAAGTGCTGGAAAGCCATATTTAAAGAGTGTTTAAATCGACTATTCCTCATAAAACCTGAATGAAGTTTAAAGTTAGGTGCCACAGGGCCCTATCCTGGCCCTGGCATGCTAACATTTTTATCAGTGACTTGGGTTATCAAGTATGATTTCTCGGAAGACAGGAATAAAATGGAATGTAAAACTAGGCTGGGAATAATGAAATGAAGCCAACAGAGACAAATGTTCTTCATTTGGGGAGCAGGATCCCCAACTAACCTGCAACTGCCAAAAAAGTTTTGGGTGGTACCCAACATGCTTGTTCTGTTAGTGTAAAGATTAATGCTTATGTGATGCAACACCCTCTCCCCCCCCCCAACTCTCTCCCCAAATCTGCTCTGGAGAATTGGAGGAATCCCTAGAACATATTTTTCGGGGTGGGGGGGGATGGAAATCCTTGCACTAACATAACAAGTTGCTTCGTACAGTCATACCTTGGAATGGAATCTGTTCCGGAAGTCCATCCGTCTTCCAAAACAATCGGAAACCCAAACACAGCTTCTGATTGGCTGCAGGAAGCTCCGGCAGCCAATTGGAAGCAGTCGGACATTCAGGTTCCAAAGAACGTTTGCAAACCAGAACACTCACTTCTGGGTTTGTGGCGTTCGGGAGCATAAATGTCCAAGTACCAAGGTGTTCGGGATCCAAGATACGACTGTACTACATTGGATGCAAGCCCTTATTACCATTCACCAGCCTCTGAAGAAAGAAGCACCTGGAGCAGGGCATCCAATACAGATTCTATACAGTAAGTAGATTCATACCTAAGCTGGTGAGCCTTTGGCTATCCAGGATTCCAAGCTATATAGAGTTTTACGGTCAAAAACAAAGGCCTTAGCTGTATACAGAAAAACAACAGCCAATGGGTGTTTTCCAGACAGGAAGTACCAATCAATCATTAATGGGGCTGCCATATTCTGAACTTTAAAAATTATTTCTTCTAAAGTTGATTTTGACACACAGTATTGCAGCTCGATGAAAAGGTGGAAATGCCGCAGAAAAGCATCACTCAAGAAGCATTAATGTTTAACGAGGCAATTTAAGAGTATGATGGCATGTTGTTTGTGGCTGTGAAATGGTGTGAAACCTACAGTCTTTGAACCCGTATGCAGCTAATAAATCACTGTCTATTATTTAAACACCCCTTAATTACAACTTCTGACTCTGTATCACTTGGAAGAAGTGGGGCTACTGATCAAATGTATACATTGTGTAGCTACACAGGTGCTTTATCAAATGCTACATGGACATATTTAGGGAAGGAATTCTTTATCTCCAAATTATCAACTGGTTGTTTACACAATATAGAAAATGCCATTCAGAGTGAGGAATCCCTCTTGACTAATCAAATATAGCTATCTCCCTAAACTTGGCGCAGATAATTTTCTTCTAATATGCAAAGAACTACAGAATATAGGGATAGGCATGTCTCACTAGTCGCTTTTGACTGTTCGCATACAATCAGTGGGAGTTCAGCCATATCCTCCCAAAGAGAAGGTGCATGCACACGAAAGTTTATACCCAAGAACAAACTTAGTTGGGCTCCAAGGTGCTCCTGGAATTTTTTTTAAAAAAATTAATATGTTTTGACTGTGTCAGACCAACACGGCTACCTGCCTGAATCCTTCCAAAGAGAAGTGAATGACACCCCTTTGACAGCTATTGTGAGACAGTTATTAGATTGGAACAAGTTGGGGGCCTATGAGGAATGGCAGAGAGAGAGGGGGAAATGCTAAGCCAAATTAGTAGCTTCCTACTTAATTAATCCTGAACCTCAGTTGCCAAACAGTATAGTGCAAATGTCCTATAAGCATTGACCTTTGAGGTTTGGTGAATGGGGCATTGGTCATATAAAGGGTTAGACATCACCTTGCCAACAATGGTCCGTACAGTAAAAGCTATGGTTTTCCCAGTAGTGATGTATGGAAGTGAGAGCTGGACCATAAAGAAGGCTGATCGCTGATGAATTGAGGCTTTTGAATTATGGTGCTGGAGGAGACTCTTGAGAGTCCCATGCACTGCAAGAAGAACAAACCTCTCCATTCTTAAGGAAATCAGCCCTGAGTGCTCACTGGAAGGACTGATCCTGAAGCCGAGGCTCCAATACTTTGGGCACCTCATGAAAAGAGAAGACTCCCTGGAAAAGACCCTGATGTTGGGAAAGATGGAGGGCACAAGGAGAAGGGGACGACAGAGGACGAGATGGTTGGATAGTGTTCTCGAAGCTACAAACATGAGTCTGACCAAACTGCGGGAGGCAGTGGAAGACAGGAGTGCCTGGCGTGCTCTGGTCCATGGGGTCACGAAGAGTCGGACACGACTAAACAACAACAAACAACACAGATAAACTGCACATTTATATACTTGGGTCTCACTCTCTGGGGGATATCTGCTTCTCTTTCCTACAGTATATGGGCCCTCCTGAAGTTTGGGAAGGAAAATTGACTGCTCCCAACGTGCATTACATTATAATTATGATGGAATGAAGAAATGAAACAGTGGGAAAGTAGGATCAGACCTATCTCAGGGATGGGGAACTTGTGGCACTCGCTATGTTTTTGGGCTCCAGCTCCCAGCAGCCCAGCCATTATAGCCGATGCAAGTGCAGCACAGCAGCACCTGGAGGATGGCAGACTCCCCATGGATTGCCTATCTAGTCCATTATCCTGTTTCTGTTAGCGGCCAATCAGATACCTATGAGAAGCCACAAGCAGGACATGAACACAATAGCTCTCTTCTGCTGTTCCCCAGTGATTGATAGTAAGGGCATATTCATTCTGATCCTGGAGACAGGATACAGCCATCCTTAGCCATTGGCAATATTAGATTCCATGAATTTGTCTAATTCCTTTTTTAAAAAAAACCCTGCACTGGTAGTCACAATCACATTTTGTCTTAGCAAATAGCAGAGTTTAACTATGTGCAAGAAGGAGGTTCATGGGTCTGTCCTTCATCTTCTCCTACTCAGAATCATCACTGGATGATTCAGGTTCTAGAATTATGTAGAGAGAGAAAAGCTTGTCTCTTTGCCTTTCATAAGCTGCTGCAAATGAAATGTGGGTTTCTACAACCTATGTACTGACAAACATTCCACAAAAGTGAGCACACGTGCATTTACTCCTTCAGAAAAGCACCTCTTCGACCCCCCAAGAAACCAAAAAAATCATGTATAAATGATAAAACTTTTCCAACTTACAAAAAGAACTTTTGATTTTACTTGGTCATGAATAAGTGGTTTGGTAGAGCCTGAATAATATAGCGTTGCCTGTCAGTTGTGCCCCACCAAAAAGCCACTCCTGGAAATGGGGTGGGTGGGGGAATAATGAGATAGGGAATAAACACAAAGTAAGTAGATGTTCAGACAACTTCGCTTGCCCCACATTGTCCAGGATGCCTCTCCAACCTTCTGAAGTACAGTGGTGCGTCGCAAGACGAAAAGAATCCGTTCCGCGAGTCTCTTCGTCTTGCGGTTTTTTCGTCTTGCGAAGCAAGCCCATTAGCGGTTTAGCGGATTAGCGCTATTAGCGGCTTAGCGGGCTTAGCGGATCAGCTGATAAGCGGCTTAGCGGATCAGCTGATAAGCGGCTTAGTGGCTTAACGGATCAGCTGTTAAGCGGCTTAGCAGATCAGCTGATAAGCGGCTTAGCGGTCAGCTGTTAAGCGGCTTAGCGGATCAGCTGATAAGCGGCTTAGCGGCTTGGGGAAAAGGGGGGGGAGGAAAAAAAACCCACAGGAACTTGCAAGACATTTTCGTCTTGCGAAGCAAGCCCATAGGAAATTCGTTTTGCGAAGCACCTCCAAAACGGAAAACCCTTTCGTCTAGCGGGTTTTCCGTCTTGCGAGGCATTCGTCTTGTGGGGCACCACTGTAGCTTTTTTTGGGGGGGGGTGAGGGAGAACAAATGACGAGAGGCAATGCTGGGAGAAATAAAGAATCAAGACAAGGAAACTTCCTTCACGTGAACTTAATCATAACTAACTTATCTTGGGGTCCAAGCCAAAGTAATCGTAACTGTCCCCCCCCCCAAGTACACACACCAGGCTTTCCATTCTTGCCTCTGTCCAAGTTCTGCAAGGGCATTGAGGCATTTTCTTTGAGGTATGAGTCTCCTGCTGTTGTCTTCGGTGGGGGAGAGAGACATGCACATGGCCATTCTCTTCTCCACCAAGATTTATGAGTGAAGTCGATTAAAAACATGCAGAATGGAAAAGGGGGGAAGCAGATGTTGGTGGGATTTGTGAATTCCTTAGGGATCCCACGTATCACATACGATATGACAAACAACAATAACCCCGACAGAATATCATAATGTAGCTCTTTACATCATAGCATTTGAGCTCACAGTGAGTAGTTTGTCTGGCTTCTCCCCCCCCCCACTTAGGGAGGAAATATATCCTAAATGAGGACTCAGAAGAGAGGGAATATAAACAGAAAGTGCCGTCTACACCAACTTCCCTAGATGATTTGTACTACAATTGCCATCAGCCCTAGTCGTCATGGTCATATTGGCATGTTCTACATTTTTCATTGCAAAAATAGCATAACATTGGTTCTCTCATTACAGATTTTTGGGGAACCCCTCTATGTGGAGAATTTCCAAAAAGTACCTGCTGCATTAACTAAGGCAGGCTACAGTTCCTGCAGATTAACACAATCAGCTCCCGCATCCCATAATATATATGGCAAGACCACCTTTTAATCATTCTGAGTCTCTGTTGGTGTAGAGAAACCAGCTAAAACTGCCTTTCGTTTATACTTCTTTGTACTTCTTTTTTTTTTTTTAGCTGATTATGTATCAGATATCAAAGCGCTCTTGATAAAAATGGCCTGGGATTGTTAACAGAATAAATAAACCACTACGTTCAGTTTATGAACAGCCCCCATGATTTATGACCCCGCTGCCGTTCTGCTTTATGCTGCTCTGCAGTCTGGGAGATGGGATCCTGCAGAAGAGAAGCTTCTTTATGGCAATAACCCTTTGCCTTCCTCAACCATCTGCATTCATTGCCTTATATAGCAACAGCTTGCCTGTCCTATGGCAGTATTTCCTGAGAAAGATTGCCTTCCACTTGTGCAGCTAAGGGTGGGGGAGAAATGTTGGTTTGGTTCACATTTAAAGGCAAATCTATCTAATCAACACTTGGGGGGGGGGAAACACCTACAGAAACACAGCCATTCTGAATTTTGCGATGCAACTTTCCAGCTAAGTAACGCGTGCAAAAATGCATATACTAGGGCAAAGTGTGCCTAAAAGTGCACGTGCTAGTAAAAAATAACATACAATCCGGCATTGGGAAATTACTTTGCAGAAATGCGCATATTAGGCAAAATTGCACACCAAAGTGTGTCAGGATAAATTTGCACTAAAATGCTGACGGTATATATAATGGCAAGCTGATGTGGAAATGTGGCGATCTGGACTTAAGTTCAGCAAAACGAGAAACCAAAACTGAGAAATCTACCTATTCCTATGTGCAGCTAATCGGTAACAGAAATTCACTAATCTGCTCCAAGCCCATTCAACGTGTGGCAAGAATGGCTACTGTGAGAAGCAGTGTGTGTGGAAATATTAGTGGGTAGCAGTCAAGCATGCCTCCAAGTGAGATCTGGTTCCCACTGAGGAACTGGGGCTAGGAAGAACTCTAGAGTCACACAGACCTGAACAGGTAGAAATATACAAATACACTTTTGGTCTATAAGCCAATGGTGGGGATATGTTTTGTATGCAGATGACCCCCAGTTTAATTCCTCAGATCTCAAGTTGCACAGCTGGGTAAGGTTGAGTGAGCTGCCTCAGAACCTGACCAGTCAAAGCAGACAATACTGGGGTAGATGGACCAGTTATGGATTGACTCCAGTAAAAAGCAGTGTTGTATCTCGGTATGAAGGAATGCAAGGCATAGACAACAGAGGACTGGTAACAAGCCCAAAGAGGACACCTGGCATTTTGCCCCCACCTGCGCAGCTCCACACTGCCACCATGTGGCGACTCATCCGCATGTCAGTTCCAGGAGAAAAAAGATAGAGCAGCCTTTCTAGGGGAAAAACCTTGATAACAGAATTGTAAGTTGGAAGGGACCCAAAGGATCGCCTGGTCCAACCCCCTGCAATGCACAGCTCAACCCTGGGTGGGCTCGAACCACTAACCTTCTGGTTAACAGCCACACACACTGACCCATTGTGCCACCTGGGCTGGATACAGTCTGGGGGAGTTATTTGTGCCCCACAATGGCTTTGCAACCTTTACTCATTCATCTATGAGGCTGGCCATAATAATTCCCATCCGAGGCTGAGAAACAAACACTGGATCAAGATCATTCAGTAAAACCAAATCCAGCCAATCATCTAAACGAGGAGTAGTAGAGGTTATGTCATCCAGATGTGCCTGTACGACAAGTTTCATCATTCCTGACCATTGACCAAGCTGACGGCAGCTGATATGAAGTGGAGCCCAACAACATCTGGAGTGTACTAGATTAAGAAGGCTGTCTTAGATTGTTTTACAGGAGCCTGTACAAATCTTGAGATTGCATACTCTCCCTTTCCTTCATTTGTTCATGAGAAGAAGCTTCCCTTTCCGCTTTACAACACAGCCCGGTTCCCAGGAACTGTAGCTTATTCAAATCAGAGTTAGATAACAAAGTGCAGTTTGATCCAGGTTTGCTATGATTACTTGGAGTTAGAACAAGCCACAGTTCTCTGAGTTCATACACAATGGGGGACCATGGTCTTAGCCCACTAAGTCAAGTTCTTCCTCTCATTTGTCTTTTTCACCATGTTTTTTCACTCTGAAAGACATTTGTGGAGTGAAATAAACAGGGAGAACATAGAGTATTAGATGCATAACAAAACCTGGCATTAGTTCAGCAGTAGAATGTGGGTAACGCCTTACCAAGTGATCTTTCCTTTGTCTGGTTTGTTGACCTCACCACTGGAAGACTTGCTCGTGTACGGCTTCCTCTTGAGAAGGGAGAAGGAGATTCTCCTTCAGACATGATTTCCAGGGAGTCAGCAGATGCCTCTGATAATTCGGCCTGATCTCCCAAATTGGGCTGTGGGCTTTGAGATAGCTTTGGGCTCCTTGTCTGTGAAATAAAATAAATAAATAAATCATTAAGAGAAAGCAAACACTTTTGTTGGTAACTTCAAGATCCCTGCCTAAAGGAGAGCAGGGATTTCTCCCGCCTCCCTCTCATACAAAAAGATAAAATATCACTTGAGCTGCTGAATGCTGAATGATACAAGGCCTTGTTTGCTCAAGGTGACTTCCATGTATGTTATTTACAAGAGATTGTCCCAGGGTATTCCATTAAGATTTTTATTGCGGTACGTCCAACTGCACAAAATTCATATCTAACAAGTACCCGAGGCTAAGACAGTATGGGTTAGATAGATGGCAATTTCCTTCCCTGCTGTTCTGACAATTGCTAGCATTGTCTGTAACAGTAACAGCATGTAAGCATGCAGATATGCACACAACATAATGCACAGGCAATGAATGAAAGGCTTTACACCACCAAGCTTCCTTAAGTCTCTTTCAGTATCGCTGTGCTAGTTGTGTGAAGAGGCATTACTCAGCTAAGAGGACAGGGGACAAATTTATACTCTCTCTACTTTGACCTTCCACTCTTAAGTCTTCTGTATTATTACGTTTTTTAAAACCCTGCCCTTCACTCAAAGTGTTCATGACAATGACAGAAGTCATATTTCTTTCAAGCAACAGTGTGCCATTTGGGCTCTGCCGAGGCTAGAAAGCAGATGGGCTGTTCACTACATCTCCAATTTTTCGTCTTCCTCCTCTTCTTCTTCCTCCTCCTCTTCTTTTTCTTTTTTGATGTGTTAAGCGAAAGAAACACCCCCTGCAAAAATATTTGGTCACTTGATATGATAATGTTTTGCCTCCAACCCACCTACAATCTCCCATGTGAAAATACACAAAGGTTCCACCACTTCAGACCTCGAATACACATACAGAAAAGCTTTGGTCCAGCACTGATTTATTCCCTCAAAATAAAAAATATTCAGATTAAAATCTGATCCGGAAAAGAATTCCCAGGTTCTCTACTCACCAGTCAGCCACTCTCTAAAACCCCCACATTCTCTTCCCCTCAATGGTTTATATTAGCAGTCATACGAGAAAGAAAAAGCTCTGTCTTTTTCCCCATTTACCCAGCATGCTGTATTATAATCACATCAGGTTGAGGGGAATCAGTGTGTGTTGCTGCTACCACCCTTCCACTTGCTTTAAGGCAGGTGTAGAAAACCTGTGGCTCTCCAGATGTTGTTGGACTCTGACTCCAATCACCCCCAACCATTGGCCATGTGGCTGGAGATGATGGGACAACATCTGGATGGCCACAGGTTAGCCATTCCTGTTTAGGTGTTATAGCAGAGATTGGGAACCAATGACTACAACTCCCATCATCCCTCACCACTGTCTATTCTGGCTGAGACTGATGGAAGTTGGAGTTAATTTTCCACAGGTTCCACCTGGAGAAGACACTTTAGGAATCAGAGAAGACCAGTCAGGAGGAGGAGTCTGTTTTCCTAGTTCAGATTAGCTGGGCGGATGATAATGATGATGATTTCCATGCATTACTAAATTAATCCAAAGTTGATTGGGGCAAGTTTACTCATCTCTACTCTCCTATCAGTCTTTAGAAGAATTTTCTTTGTAGACCTGCGGAAAGCATATTGTGTGCTGGGCCCGAGCATGTTGAGAGCTGGCAGAAGGGGCTTTGGCAATGCGGAGAGCTGTCAGGAACTCCGCAGCCGTGCAAGAATTTTAGGGCTGGGCAAAAGGCTTCAGTGGTTTCACAGCAAGATTCAAAGGCCTGTTCTTGGCTATAGTCATAGCTAAATTCCAACCATGCAGCGTTTAAGAGGATTTGTTGCCCTTAACTTTTTCATACCCCAGAATAACTACAGATCTGGAAGTTCCTGAGAGATAATTGCTCGCGAGTTGAAATATAAAAGGGAGTGGGCTTCCCTATGTGGCACTCTTAGAAATCTGTTATGAAAGGAGGAAAGGAGGAGCTGTGGGGTAAGAGCTTTCAGAGCTGCAAACAACTGCAGAATTATGGGCTGAAAGCCTGAACAACATGCCCAAAGCTGCGTCTGCATTGGCTATTTGTACTGAGCCCATCTAGGCTACCCTGCATCACTTCTGAGCCTGTGCTGTTCCCCCAACCATTTGTCTTGCAGATGGGCTGGAAACCCCCAAGTTTTGGCGGAACTCTAAGGAACTGTTGTGGGCACTGCACAATGCTCAAGTCACAGAAGGAACACTGGGGATTCTGAGACATCACCACCACCACCACCAAACAAGCCAAACATCGACATCTTCCTCCCAAAACAAATACAGACCCAAAAAAAGGCAGGAGACACCCCCAAAGCAGGCAACCCCTTCCCAACCAACTCCCCCCAAAACACCTTGCTCAATTTGAAATAAAACCTAGAGATGCAGAGTCTTAAGTCACTATGGTGCCTACAGCTGTCGCATTAGCAACTCAAGCACTGAGAAAACATAAGTGGCACAGTCCAAGCCACTTCAGACACCTAGAACCTTGTGTCTCGTGGTTCTTACTTTTTCTTGGGGGCTTCACCCCATTTCTAGCTTAGTATTGAGCTGCCCATTGACGGCTCTTATACTGACATGCCCTTGTCCTCGATTTCTGATTCCCATATTCTCGTGCGCACTGCCCAAAACACTGGATTCAATCCCAGTTCTTATTTTAATTTAAAACCCTGACAATGGCGATGTTCTATATTTAGAAGGTTGGAAAATGCTGTTCAGATCAAAGCTGGATTCAAAAACAAAGAGCCATATTGCTGACATCTGGCCTTTTCTTTTTGGTGGATATTTATTTTTTGAGTAGGGAGAGGTGAGCTTGCTGCAGAAATGACACAGATCATGGCATACTCCCTTGGTGACCTTGGCTGAAGGAGCAACTGTAGCTTTATTTATTAGGTTTTCATTAGGTTGCTGCGGAACTTCAACCTCTCTCAACTCCCTCCGTTTCCAACTTGTCCAGTCACACACAAAATATAACAACTCTGAAATACCTAACGAGAAATCCAAAGCCTCAGGAGCTTTGTGCTTACAAAAGGTTTGCATTAATATATTAGGTATTACCCAGCGTCCTGTAGTGACATGATTATGAGGCACTATTCCCCCTCACCCACCCTTCTCTCTCTCCAGGAATTACAGCTAACATTTTTCATCTTAAGAGAATGGAGGCATGCTTTGAAGTGCCTCCGTGACGTCGTTCGCGTCTAAGCTACAAGGTTGTAAACACCCCATGTGGGCACATGGACGTTAATACCCAAGAACTGACAAGTGAGTGACCTAAAAAAACAAAGAAGGATTTAAGAAGGCAATAATTCTTTCATTCAGTCACCTGAAATGTGGCTGGTGGTTGTAGGCCATGACTGCAACAGCAGGTTAAAAAAAAGAGGTAAAGGATCCTTGGACAGTTAAGTCCAGTCAAAGGCAACTATGGGATGCGGCGTTCATCTTGCTTCAGGCCAAGGGAGCCGGCATTTGTCAACAGACAGTTTTCTGGGTCATGTGGCCAGCATGACTTAAACAGCTACTGGTGCAACGGAACACCATTATCTTCCCGCCGCAGCGATACCTATTTATCTACTTGCACTGGCATGCTTTCGAACTGGGCGCAGGTGGTGCTGTGGTCTAAACCACTGAGCCTCTTGAGCTTGCCGATCGGAAGGTCGGCGGTTCAAAGCCATGCGACGGTGGTGAGCTCCCACTGCTCTGTCCCAGCTTCTGTTGACTGCAACAGCACCCAGGACTAGTGTATCATATTATTTCTAAAGTCAGCCATCAGATGTGGGAGACCTCTGATCTGATCTCCAGCTTTTCCCCCCTTCCCCACTTTTGAAGCAGTTCTGGTTTTGAATGAATAATGCTGTGATCAGGGAACAAGATAAGGGCTAACCCCGCCCCTGCATCAGATTTTTCCAATCTAAGACTCTCCTTAACTTTCAGTGAGCTCATTAGTGAAGCTATGATTAGCTCTGGGTTGGGAAATATATCTTTGGATGCAATGCCAATCCACTTACCCATGGAATTCTGTAGTAGTATTCTGCGTAGACATAGAACAGCCCAGTAAAATCTATCTATAAGCATGATATGGATACCTGTGTTTCTTTCCTTTGCAGGGCTGAATGAAT